CCGGTGGGTGGGGGGTCCACCCGCCGGTAACACTGTTCCGGGCAGCGGGTGCCCGGCGGGCAGCTGCCCGCTGCCGGAGCTGCCCGAATTGCCGCGGGTAGGTGGCGGGTCCCCTACCCCCCACCTACCCCCCACTGACTCTTTTCACCACTTTTCGTCCCGGGAACCATTGTGGAACCCGAAACCATGCTTAGACACTTTACAACGCAATTAATGACGACACGTAGACAATTAACGGATCAATTACGAGAAACGAACGACACATAATCTATCATGCTTTTCTAACTATAATCAACACCCAAACATGCGATTTCCCCACCCGATAATCCAAGAATAATATCATACGATACAACCTAGGGTTCTAATCACTTTTATATCAACAAGAATACAATTCATCTTCTAATTGCAAGATTCGGTAGGGACAACACATAATCATCAAGGATACCAATTAATCATCAAAACATCATAATCATCAAGAACAACACATAATCATCAAAACCCCAATTAATCATCAAGAACATCATAATTATCAAGAAACTCCCAATATCAAGATTATCGAGGTTCCTCATGGAATCATTATATCGACATCAATAATAATCATCATCAATCGCCATTTACAACAATATGGGGGAAACCCTAAGGGGAAATCATAGCTATGAAAATAGGTTTTGTTGAGACATGGGTTACCTCTTAGCCTTAATTAATTCCTTGGCTATGAAGGATCTTTCTTTAAGCTTTCTTGCTTTCTTGATTTCTTCTAAGGGAATTCTTGGAGCTCTCCTGGGGTGATGGGGCGTCTAGGCGTGTGGGGGGTTCCGGGTGTCTCCTAAGCTCCCTATTTATATATTTAAGACTCCTAATTAGGGCCTGAATGGTATGGGTTTACTAATTCTATTCCTTATAGGCTTAAGCCTCTAATTTAGGCAAGGGTCCACGGTTCACGGTGGACCCTATTAATTAATTAAAGGGGAACTTAACATAATTAATCGTATTTAATTATTATTAGCGGGATTAATTAACTAATTAATCCAGGATTAAAGGCCGTAACACGGGGTGTTACACTCTCCCCCCCTTACAAGGGGCTTCGTCCCCGAAGCCCGGTGTCATAGTCCACCCTTTCACCCCTAGAGATCCCGTAGTTTGGCCTCCTGGGTAGGGGTGTGGCCCTACGTTTGTCTTAGTTTGGGGTAGGCTGTACTTTTGGTGGCGTTGTGATAACGAAGTTATGGGTGTACCTCGGTTTCCTGCGCTGGAACTGGGCGCCCCACGAGTGCCCAAGGCGGCCTCGATCGCTGCCACCCTCTGATCGAGTGCGCGTGTGGTGCGAATCAAGGATGAGAACCCTTCTTCCATGATTTGGTTTTGCCGGTTGAGCTGTGCGAGAATGCGCTCATTGACCGAGCTCTCGTTTTGATCCCTCGGGTCCCTTCCGGATCGTGGTTGCACTGTCGGGTCGGGCCCGTCATCCTCCTCCTGTTCCTCATTTTCTTCCGTGCCTCCGCAATCTTGCATGGCCCACTTGAGCTTTTTGTTGGAGATGTCCAATCGATCAACCAATTCTCTACGTTCCACCTCGGGTTTTTGGCAAATTTCTTCGAGGGTGAGATAGTGTCCTCCCTCGGTGTAGTAGATGTCGTTGCGGCGGAGGTTTTGGGCATTGAAAACCATGCCATTGGCGGTCTTGACTTCGGTGTGGCTTAGGTCTACCCCCTTCTTCTCCATGATCCAACTTAGGATCATCCCGTAAGGTAGGCTAAGCCGGTTGCTTGTTTTGCAGAACTCTATGTGCTTTAGCATGAGTGCCGGCAGGTTGAACTTGATTTTATGTTTTAGGAGATACGCAAAGGTGCACTCCAAGCTCCCTACATCCTTGCTCTTGTTATTGGTGGGTAAGAGGCTATCGGTTATAACCATAACCAATATCTTTTGCTCCGCCGATAGCCACTTCCGGTTGGGTCGAGTAGCCGAGGTGAACCCGTCCTCTTTCCCGAGTAAGTACCCGAGATAGTCCTTGTATCCCGTAGTTTGGGTATCAATCCACCCCTTTCGGTCATAGTTAGACACACCCGTGGTGGTCAATTTCAAGAGCTTGGCCAACCGGCCTTCGGAAAGCACAATTTCCTTGCCACGGACCTTGGTGGTCACTTCTACTTTGTCGCCCCGTTTGGTGGCCACAAGGTGTTGATAGAATTCCTTCACTAATTCGGGGTACGTATCCCCTTTGATGGTGAGGTATGTATCTAGAAGGCCTTGGTATTTAAGCATATCAACCAATTCCGGAGAAAATTGGTCGGGTTCAAGTGCTTTACCTCCGATTACGGTGTAATCGGCGTTGTTCCACTCCGGGGTGCGGATTCCGAGGGGTTTCTTTGGCATCGTAATACTCGTTTGACGGGCGTGTCTGCCGGCGATCTTTTCGGTGAGGCGGTACGATTTCCGGCGGGTTTTCCGGCGAGGCGGCGCGGTTCTCCGGCGAGTTCTCCGGTGAGGCGGCGGCGGGACTTCGGCGTATCCTTCGCTCGCGAGGCCGACGCCGGTGAGGTGGGAACCGATTCTGGTGCGGTGGGGGTGCAGTGGCGCTGTGGGGTCGGCTGGGCAGCGGGTTGTAGCCGGGCGGCGCTCGGGTGGACGGCGGGTGATCTCCGGCGGCTTGGTCTGGACGGCGGCGAGGCGGGGCGGCGTCGCCGGGGAGTGGCCGGGCGGTGGCGGCGTCCGTTCGGTGGTGATGGGAGGTGGCTGCTATGGTGGGGCAGTGGGGTGTGCGAGGGGGAGGAGAAGAGGGTGTGGGGAGGAAGAAGGAGAAGAAAAAGAAGAAGAAGAGGAAGAAGGGTTTTTGATTTGGGGATTTTGTAGTTTTTAGGGATTTGGAGGGGTTTTAACAAGGGAGTATCCCCTTGAAGTTTCAAGAAACATTCACGGGCTAGTGGTTAAGGCTTTAACTTGTAGATGAGAGGTCTAAAGTTCCATTTCTAATGGTAACATTAGGCATTCCTTAATGAGGTGATTTTTGTCCTTTTCCCTGTTTCGTCTTTTAGTGAGGAAGGGTTGGGTGGATGGCATAACTTGTGTTTTACTTTCGTAGCAGAATTGAAACTTGAACGAAAATGAATCTTTATTCATAATACTTTCTAAGTAGCTAAGTTAAGTGGACATAATGCTTCCGAAGTAATTAAACTAAGTAAGTGGTCGTCATGACACAGGGAACGGCTACAAGGGGGTGATGGCTTATCCTAGACAGAATTCGCTTTTGGGATTTTCTTCGGCGGGGTCCGTATAGTCCTCGTCTTCAGGGTTTGGGTTTTCCCCTCCTAGGTCTTCTTCGTTTCCGAGGTTGGCTTGCGTTTGGCTCATGACGAATACTTTTCCGGAAGCGCCGTAGCCTCCTTGATGACCGGTGCCCCCGTGTTGGCCCACAGTGGCGGGGCGCGGTCTTTGGGGTCGAGTGCACTGGAAGGCCTTGTGCCCCTCCTCTCCGCAGTTGAAGCATCGCCAGGGGTTGCCTGCGCAATCCTTTCCCCTATGGCTTTTGTTGCATCTCGGACAAGGGAAGCTCCTTGGATTAGCTTCGTTGTTTCCCAGGGTTGGTCTTTGGTTGGTCGGGTTGTTCGTCCTTGTGCCGGTGTCGTTTCTCGTTCTTTTCACTGGCGGTGCCCCACTTCCGGTGTTTCTTCTTTGTATTTGTTCATGAACCCCGCGTTGGAGTAGTTGGATCTGATAGAGATTCGCGGCACTGGAGTAAGCCTCGTTGAGGGTCCGAGGTCTGCTTACCACTAGCGCCTTTCGAGCTTCGAAGTTGAGGCCCGACACGAATCTCTCTATCTTGGTTACCTCGGTGGGGACTAGCTCTGGCGCGAAGCGTGCCAGCTCGAGGAATCGTTTATGGTATTCTACGACGGTGGCCGTTCCTTGTTTTAGATGAAGGAACTCTTCGTACATGGATGCCTTCACGTGGGTTGGATAGAATCTCTCTCGTAGTCGTGTCTTGAGGTCCTCCCAATTGAACCCCGGTTCTTGTTGATAGGTGGGTCCCTTATGTATCTCTTCCTTTATAGACTTGGCTTCGTCTAGGTACAAACACCGGAGGAGGGCGCCGTTATAGGGCCTTATGTAAAGGGTGTCGCCAAGGAGGACATATGTTGGTGACCTCCTCTTGACTGCCTTGGCGGCCGCCTCATCTGCGGGTAGGGTACCCGTTCTCTTGTACTCCACCAGGTGTTCTAACCAGCATGGGGGCCGAGTTTGTATGGGGAGGACTGGGTAGGCCTCCAGGCTGGACCTCTGGAGGTCTTCAATCTGTGCTATCTTAGAGACATGCTCCGGGGTGCCGAGGCCGAGCTTGGAGAGCAAGTCTGCGTCCCCGTTTTAACTTCGGGGTATCTCGGTCAAGTCGGCTATGTGGAGGTCGGCCTCCGTGCTTTTCAGGATCATGTCATCAACGTAAGCTTGTAGGTTCTGGCCGAGGACATTCTTGAACACTTTGGCCACCATTCGTGTGTACGTGGCTCCTGAGTTCTTGAGCCCGAAGGCCATGACCCGGTAACAAAAGACCCCTTCGGGGTGGTAAACGCCGTCTTTTCTTCGTCGTCCTCGTGGATGAAGATTTGGTGGTTCCCCCGGAAGGTGTCTAAGAAGCTCATGAGCGGGCATCCCGCCGTCTCGTCCACCAGTTGGTCTATGTTGGGTAGCGGGAAGGGGTCCATGGGGCATGCCTTGTTAAGGTCCGTGTAATCCACACACATCCTCCATGTAGGTGGTTAGGTGCGAGGACTACGTTCGCAAGCCATGCCGGCTATAGGACCTCCCTTATGTGCCCGATCTCGATGAGGGTGTCGACCTCCTTCTTCACAAATTCTCGTCTATCCGCTACGAGGTAGCGCTTCCGTTGTCAACGGGTTCACTGCCAGTTTGTGCATGATGACCTCCCGACTAAGGCCCGGCATGTCCTCGGGGCCCCAGGCGAACACGTCCTTGTAGATGCGGATGACCTCAACGATCCGACCCTAGAGGTCGACCGGGAGGCCTGTACCCACCTTCACCATCCTGTCGGGTCGGCTGAGGTCTAGAATGACCTCTTCTGTCTCCACCGCGGGTTCGGCTCGGGGCGGGTTCTCTTCTTCTCGAAGCGCCTTCTCGGTTACGGTGTGTACCTGGAGGTCCTTCTTCGTTATTTGGCGGCATGCTTTCAAGTAGCAGCTCTGAATGATTTTCTGGCCTCCTCGCGCGACATCAACTCCAGTGGGGGTGGGGAACTTGAGACAAAGGTGCTCCATGGAGATGATGCACCTGAGGTCCTCCAAGGAAGGTCGGTCGAGTATGATGTTATGGGCGCAGTTGATTTTTACTACTACGAACTCCACCTCCCACTTTTTAACGTGCGGCGGGGTGCCGATCTGCACCTCGAGGGTGATGGAGCCCTCTGTTTCGATGGAGACCCCAGTGAAACCGGATAGCGAGGTCCGTACCTGGGAGAGCTGCTTCCGGGATAGTCCTAGTTGCGCAAAGGTGTCATAATACATGCCGTTCACAGAGCTCCCCGTATCTACCAGTACCCGGTGGACAATGATGTCTTTGAGCTCCAGCCTGATCACCAATGCATCTCGGTGGGGCAAGGGGTCATCCGAGAGGTCGTCGTTGGTGAACGTTATAGGCTCCTTGCGTGTCCTCTTTTCGTGGGGTGCTCGGACGACCTCCCCCACGTATAGGTTCCGCGCCCACCTCTTCCTCTTAGCGGGCGTGTCTCCTCCCTCCGGGCCGCCAAAGATGACGTGGATGACTTTCTTCTTTGGCGGGCTATCTGGCTCGGCCTCCTCGTCCTCCGTGAGTTGGCCGAGTTCCCTCTTGCGCGGGGCAGAGGCGGATGGCCCGGCGCCATCCTTCTTCTTCCGGGCGTTGTCGGGGCCTTTAGCATGGTCCTGCCCGGATCTCTTCACATATTGGCCTAGGTATCCCCGTTGGATGAGCTCTTCGATCTGCCTCTTGAGGACCATACATTCGTATGTCTCATGCTCGCGCTGCCGATGGAAGAAGCAGTACTTCTTCGGGTTAGCCTTGGGGAGATCTTCAAGCACTCCTCGGGGAATGACACAATGCCCATGTCCTCCGCGTGGTCCAGAATGACACTCACGGGCTGGGTTAGCGGGGTCAGGTGTCGTAGCGGGGCTAGGCGGGGACCCCGATCACGGCGTGATCGCGACGTGCGGCGATCCTCCTGGGGTTGAGGTGCCTTGTCGCCCCGGCCCCGGCCTTCCTCTTCCTCCTTCTTCCTCTTCTCCGCCGCCTCGGCGTTGGCATACCGCGCGGCGCGGTCCATCAACTCCGTGTACGTCTTTGGCTCGTTCCGGACGAGGTCGCTGTGGAAAGGACCAGACCTGAGGTTGTTGGTGAAGAATGGGATGGCGGACCTTTCGTCGAAATTGTTCACCCCCATGGCTTCCTTCTTCCTCTTGCTCAGGTACTCCGCCAAGGTCTCCGACTTGTGTTGCTTCAGGTATCACAGGTCGGCGAACTATTTCCTTCGTTGTATGATGCCCGCGAAGTGTGACATAAACTTCTTAGCTAGGACGGCAAAAGTGGGGATGGACTCCCCCGGCAAGGACCCGAACCAGTCTTGGGCCTGGCCATCCAGAGTTGTGCAGAAGCCGCGACACATGATTTAGTCATTGACGCCCGACACCATCATGCCTGCCATGTACCTGTTGAGATGATCCCATGGCTCCGTCGCCCCCGTGTAGGGTTTGATGGCCGGTAATCGGAAGTCCCGAGGCAGGAGCTCGGCCATGATGTCCTTCGTGAAAGGTGTGGCCAGGGCGTCCCGAGGCTCCGGTGACTCGTCGTGTGCCTCTATCTTAAGCTGCAACTCGAGCATCTGCCTGCGTAGCTGCTCCATCTCGTCATGCAGGGCGCTCAGAGGTCGGCCTCTGGTCTCCCCCGAGTACTCCACTGGTGGGGTCTGCTCCCGTGGCCCCGGAACACGAGGTTCGTAGCTCTGGGACCTCCGCGAACACGACGACTCCGCCTGTCTGGCATTTGTGGCCAGCCTCACTGTAACACCCCGTGTTACGACCCCTAATCCAAATTAATTAATTAACTACTCACCCTCAAAAGGGAATTAAAATCCATTAATTAGCTAAAGAGGGGTCCACCATGATCCATGGGCCCTTATCCCTAAATCCAACCCTTAGTCCTATAGGAAATAGAATTAGCTAAGCCCATACCATTTAGATCCTAAATAGGACTCTTAGATATATAAATAGGGACATAAGAGGCACCTAAAACTCACACCACAAATAATCTCTCACCACACAAGAAGTTCCAAGAATTCCCTAAGGAGAAATCAAGAAAGGAGAAATCAAGAAAGGAGAAATCTTAAAGAAAGACCCTTCATAGCCAAGGAAATTAATTAAGGCTAAGAGGTAACCCATGTCAAAACAAAACCTATTTTCTTCGTTATAATCTCCTCCTTTGGCCTCTCTCTACATTCTTGTGTCTTGATAAATTCCTCTATGTTAATTGTGATATGTTCTTGATGATTGATAAGATGATCTATGTGCATTCTTGATAATCTTGATGATCTTGATGTGTAAAAGAAGTTCTTGATATTGATGTGATAATTCTTGACGAATCTTGATATTTCTTGATGTTAAAGATAAAATATGATCTTGATGATTTGGGTGGGACTAGATCCCTAGGTTGGATTGGGGATTTGTGTTGGGATGTTCTTGATAAATATTTGGGTGGGAATTCACATGTTCGGGTGTTGTTTATATTTAGAAGTCGTGATAGGATGAGTCCTATGTGATTCTTGTTTTTGATTCGTTAATTGCCTACGTGGTGTCGTTATTCGCGTTTAAAAGTGTCTAAGCATGGTTTCGGGTTCCACAAAGGTTCCCGGGACGAATATATGAGAAAAGAGTCAGTGGGGGGTAGGTGGGGGTAGGGGAACCCGCCACCTACCCGCTGCCCGAAAGGACACCGCCCGGCAGCGGGCAGCCGCCTGCCCGCCGGCAACCCGCTGCCCGGAACAGTGCCCTGCGGCGGCCGGGCAGCCGGTGGGTGACCCCCACCCACCAGCTACCCGCTGGCCCGTACCCACCCCGGGTCTTTGGCTTCCCCGTTTGATGTTCCCCGCTCTCCCATGGTGTCCCAACGGACCCCGTTTGTCGTGCTTGAGTCTAGTTTGATATTTTGGGTACCATTCGTAGGTTAAATAAGTCTTAGGAATTGCATGCTACTGGAATTGGTAACCCGTCGACCTAGGTGGAAGTTGTATGAACCCTTAGGACTATTCTTAGTATGTGAATGACCACACGTAAGTTTATTTATTTGTCTTTCCCCTCCCAATATGCTATTACGTGCTCTTATGTGTTATGTGTTGCATGATCCCCCATTTTGGTTACAGACCAATTGGGTGATTCCTGGACTGAGGTTCGGAAGTCGGCTGAAGGCGGAATGGATTGTTCCCGGACTAAAGGTTCGGAAGTGGCTGAAGGCCAAATGGATTGTTCCTGAGCTAAAGCTCAGAAGTTGGCTGAAAGTCGAATTGATTCACTTCATGGGCTGCGGTCCACATGTGCCTCGGTGCTATGACCCACCGACCTGGACGCGCCAGGCGGTGTGTAGGGCCAATAAGCCGAGGAAGGCTGTAGTCCACCAACCTAAGTAATCAGGCGGTGTGTAGGGCTACGGCTGGCTGCGATCCACCGAGTGATGAGACAGCGGTGTGTAGGGCCATAGTCTCCGAGGATCTTTGCCCACCGACTGAGTCTAGCTCAGTGGTGTGTCGGGCTTGATCCGCTACGGTCCACCGACTGTACGCATCAACGGTGTTTAGGGTTGTAAGTCCCCCCTTGTAAAGGGGATCATGGTCCACCGACTGTGCGCGTCAGCGGTGTGTCAGATTGTGGTCCGACATTGAGTTCGTCAGCGGTCCTCTATGGGTTGGTTGCGATCAACTCCCTTCATGCCGCGGTATGATGTAGGGTGCTACGGGGCCGTGTTAATGCTATACGCATTAACCTCATGTTCGGGGCATGCGATTGGTCCCGTGGCGCCAGAGCAGTGTGATTGAGTGTCACAAATGATGATTGAATGATGATTAGAATGATGATTAAATGATGACATGATTGATGTGGACATAGGTTGTGACCTTAGTTGCGTATTCTTTATGACGCTTCTACTTAACTGTTATCATTAATTATTGTGCTTACCCCTATTTGCTGAGTCCATTCCTGGTTTTAAAACTAGAGTCTCTTAAGTATATATCTTCTTGCTTCGAAGTGATTTTCATATATCTATATATATCTATCTATAATATATTTCAACGCGTTGGAGTGGGTTACCAGCATCTCTCGCTGAACAGATATATTTGGCTTTCAGGCACAGCTGAGTAGACACCGGAGCGCGCTAGAGACCTGAAGCGTAGAGTAGTTAGTTTCCCCTTTTCGGCCTGCGTGCCATGTTTATGTACTGACTTTACTTTGAGGATTTTAGTTAGTTTTGCCTGTGTACCTGAGCTCTCTAACTCAGGTGTGGCATAGCACCCCGTACTCTTATGCTTACTTTGGGACTTAATGAGAAATTACCTTTGTTATATAAGTTTTAAAAGTTTCAAAATTTCGGGGTGTTACACTCGCGTCGGCACACACGGGCCCAACTGCCAGAGTTCGGATGCGGTCCGGGTCGGCCGAGTCCTCCTCTCCTTCCGTTGCTCGTGCCAGCCTCGGCTGGCCTCCGCTTCGTCTCTTTTCTCGGATGGTCGCGGTGAGTAGACTTCCCCATCGGCCGACGTCGCGGGCGCCCGTGGTGCGTGAGTGCTGGGGCCACCGTGCTCCCTCGGAAGGGGCGGAGGTGGAGGTGCCGGGGCACCCCGTCGTAGCCCCACCGCGACGCGGTTGAGCGCGGTCGCCGCCTACTCGAGTGCGGCGGCCTCCTCTTAGGGAGTCAGAATCGGGGGTGGGACGGGTGGCGCCGTCCCGCTGAGCGGGTGGTGAGCCGACCCGGGAGGACCTCTGCCGTCCCCCGCCGGTTCCCGTTGATCTGGTCTCTGAGGTCCCCTCCCGTCCCTACGGGCACGGTCTGCCGACTTGCCGTGGTCCCGTTAGGGTGATCGGCGAGGGAGAGGTTGCGCGTGTTGCGTGAATCTTCCGAGTTGTGGGTGTTTGACCTGGATCTTGTCATCGCTGTAGATGAATGATAGTAGGGAGAGCGCCTAAGCTTGTACAACCGCTCTCAACAAGAGCATCAATGATGGATTATATGAACCCAGGGGTCCGGATTATACAACCGGAATATATGTCGAATGTGATAATTAAATGCGTAAGCAATACGATGTCGTAAGCCCGTGAAGAACGTAGATTGTATTATAATAATAGTCGGGCAATTACAATGATAGTTTAGAACCAAGTGTGTAATATAGAAATCAAGTGTCCCTTGTTAGGACAAGGTGAGGGGTTTTTATATACTACAAACCTCTAACCACTCCCCCTAAACCGGGGGATGGTTTGATCTGGCGCTTTGACGGTGTCCTAGCTCGGAACCGGGTCCAAAGCGCGGCCCGGGATACGCGGGAGGAGTCGCAACTGCCGTCGCACGACTCGGATAACGCGGGGTCCCCGTCCCGGCCGAGCCCGGAGCTTGGCCGGGCCGACCCCAAAGGGTGGCCGACCCCGCGTAGGCCGACCCGGGGTGTGCCGGTCGACCCCGGGCGCGCCAACCGACCACGTGTTGGCCGGGCCTACGTAGGACAACCCCGGGGTGCCTAGCCCATGTTGGCGGACCCCGGGGTGGTTAGCCGACCCCGGGGTGCCGAGCCCATGTTGGCCGACCTCAGGGTGGTTCGTCACTCCGTGTACGCAGTAGCCGGGGACCCCGTGATAGTAGCCGAGGACCCCGTGGTAGTAGTCGAGGACCCCGGGGAGGTAGACCCCTCCATGGTCTGTCCGGCCGCGTGCGTAGTCCACACGGTGCCGGGTGTGATCCGCTCCATATTTCTTCGCTCCTGGTCCGCTCTGTAATTTTTCCATCATCGAATGGAATTGTTGTAATATATTAAGAATATTTAAATCGATATATAATTATTTAAGAGTTAATTTCACCAGAGGTCGCTTATCTTTCCTGACAATTCCAAATTTAATCCTAGACTACTATAGTTATTAATTATTACGATTTATTCTATGTTATAATTCATACGTTAATATTCTTACTATTATTATTAACACTTAATTACTTTTAGATATTATTATTACCACTTATATTATTATTATTATTATTATTATTATTATTATTATTATTATTATTATTATTATATTATTATTATTATTATTAATTTCTTTTCAAGTTCTGTTAGTATATAATGGCCGTGAGGCATAGTAATAATATAATCATAATTAAATATTCTTGTATTGTATTCCGTGAGTCACAATAATAATA